ATTATTACATTACATTACATTATTTCTGCTACTAAATAAATTCTTTAAGCAGAGAAAAGTGTCTCTTTGTGGGCGTCCAACTTTGTTTCCTGTGGATCTTCTCTGCACACATCACAACACCTGCACTGCTCACTGAGAATACCACATACAGTGCCTTGTGAAAGTAATCGGCCCCCTTGAACTTTTCGACCTTTTGCCACATTTCAGGCTTCAAACATAAAGATATAAAACTGTAATTTTTTGTGAATAATCAACAACAAGTGGGACACAATCATGAAGTAGAACAAAATTTATTGGATATTTCAAACTTTTTTAACAAATAAAAAACTGAAAAATTGTGCGTGCAAAATAATTCAGGCCCTTTACTTTCAGTGCAGCAAACTTTCTCCAGATGTTCAGTGAGGATCTCTGAATGATTCAATGTTGATCTAAATGACTAATGGTGATAAATAGAATCCACCTAGTCTCCGTATAAATGCACCTGCTCTGTGATAGTCTCAGAGGTCTGTTTAAAGCGCAGAGAGCATCATGAAGAACAAGGAACACACCAGGCAGGTCCGAGATACTGTTGTGGAGAGGTTTAAAGCCGGATATGGATACAAAAAGATTTCCCAAGCTTTAAACATCCCGAGGAGCACTGTGCAAGCAATAATATTGAAATGGAGAGTATCAGACCACTGCAATTCTACAAAGACCCGGCCGTCCGTCTAAACTTTCAGCTCAAACAAGGAAAAGACTGATCAGAGATGCAGCCAAGAGGCCCATGATCACTCTGGATGAACTGCAGAGATCTACAGCTGAGGTGGGAAAGTCTGTCCACAGGACAACAATCAGTCGTATACTGCACAAATCTGGCCTTTATGGAAGAGTGGCAAGAAGAAAGCCATTTCTTAAAGATATCCATAAAAAGTGTCGTTTAAAGTTTGCCACAAGCCACCTGGGAGACACACCAAACATGTGGAAGAAGGTGCTCTGGTCAGATGAAACCAAAATCGGACTTTTTGGCAACAATCCAAAACGTTATGTTTGGCGTAAAAGCAACACAGCTCATCACCCTGAACACACCATCCCCACTGTCAAACATAGTGGTGGCAGCATCGTGGTTTGGGCCTGCTTTTCTTCAACAGGGAAGATGGTTAAAATTGATGGGTAGATGGATGGAGCCAAAAACAGGACCATTCTGGAAGAAAACCTGATGGAATCTGCAAGAGACCTGAGACTGGGACGGAGATTTGTCTTCCAACAAGACAATGATCCAAAACATCTACAATGGAATGGTTCACAAATAAACATATCCAGGTGTTAGAATGGCCAAGTCAAAGTCCAGACCTGAATCCAATCGAGAATCTGTGGAAAAAACTGAAAACTGCTGTTCACAAACGCTCTCCATCCAACCTCACTGAGCTCGAGCTGTTTTGCAAGGAGGAATGGGCAAAAATTTCAGTCTCTCGATGTGCAAAACTGATAGACATACCCCAAGCGACTTACAGCTGTAATCGCAGCAAAAGGTGGCGCTACAAAGTATTAACTTAAGGGGGCTGAATAATTTTGCATGCCCAATTTTTCAGTTTTTTATTTGTTAAAATTTTTTGAAATATCCAATAAATTTCGTTCCACTTCATGATTGTGTCCCACTTGTTGTTGATTCTTCACAAAAAATTATAGTTTTATGTCTTTATGTTTGAAGCCTGGAATGTGGCAAAGGGTCGAAAAGTTCAAGGGGGCCGAATACTTTCGCAAGGCACTGTAACACCGCTGCTGTAAGGTAACCACTTCCCAACCTAAGGTGGTTCATGGTTCACCGTGTTATTTATTACGTTTGCAGCCCTGTTTTAATGCGTTCACTAGATGGCACTCATAAGCAGCGATTCAGCCTTTTGCCAAATCCTCTTATTGTGCCAAACGCTCATGCAGCCAGTTTGCAGGAAATCACGTGACTTATGATAAATTGGCAAATCCAACCAAAGCGCGGCGCTGTTACACTGTCTCAAAGGACTCAGCACCGCTGACTCACAGAGGATCAGTTTCTGTTCACCACATTTTGCTCTCTGAAGTCAAACACATAAAACAAGATCAGTTTTTTGGTATTACCTTCCTGTATGAACTGGAAATGTCCTTTAAGGTGTGTTTGATTGAATGCTTTTCCCTTATTAACTGAGGAAACCACACAGCGACGTAGTAACACTGTGCTGCACTAATGTTGGGGTTTACCCGTCTATTACATAATGCTACAGCTCCCTGCTCAGTCCAAAGGATATGGTTACTTTTACTTCATCCACAACAGTATCACGACTTATCTAGAGGACTCATTTTCATATGTATTAAAGATCAATAGTTGCACGTGCACTTTTGAAAACCCTTTTTGTAGCATCACGTTTGACCTTTTTCTATTGAAATGCTTCTGTCATTAAAATGAGACGAGGTGTGGAAAAGACGCTGCATCAGTGTCACTTCTGTTGTGCTTTACGCTGCATCAGTTGCTCTTTCTAAAGAAGAGAAGCCTCCATTATGTGCCAGTGAAGCCGATCTATCCTGTGACTCAGTCACAAGAGCTCGAGCTGGTTGTGTCTTGGATGAGTCAGGTGCTCAACGGATGCACAACACGGCACAGAAAGTGAAAGCAAGAAGAGCTCAGCACTCGGTGGTGCACAACGAAAGCTGCTCAGCGCATCCGCACATCCAGAGACACACATTTACAGAATGCACTATATAGGTGACAAAAGGTTTCAGGGTGCACGGATTCATCTTTTCTAGACAAGGCCGCAATCACAATCATCTGTATTTTAAATTCACCCTTTTTTTCCAGTGTTCAACTCACGCTGACGGCCATTTTTGGTCTGTGATGAGACGATGTCACTAAGATGGCGTGTGCCTTTTGCCCTTTTTTCTAACTCCACGCCTCCTGCCACTGGAACCTGCAGGCAGCACTCAGGGTTGTAGATGGGAAGCAGCCAAGTTCATGATAAGTCTGTGAGCCGGGGTGTATCTCCAAAGCGTCACCTTCATTAGAATGATGAATAATAATTCGTCCATAGCAGAACCAGACTCACAGTGAAGCATGTGATTATTAATCAAGTAGGGGGATACAAATGTTTTAAATGTACATTTAAATACAGTAAACTGGGTGGGTGTTCATGTCATAGACCCATTCATTTAGGAATCCCTCACACTCATGATGCATGACGTTATAAAAGTCTTGCAGGAGTCCAAGAGAAGCAACAGCGGCACGTGTGTGGACGCGTGACTTCAGTCCCCATTTTGTGGAGACGTCTCAACAAGATGGCGGTTAACGTTGCCGATGCTGAGCCTGAGCTCTGTCAATAGAGGGGGTTGGTGTTTTGGCACAACGCCTGATGTCACGTGTTTTTATGAAATGTCATCAGGCAACTTTCCAAAAAGCCTCACTGACAGAAGCAAACAAAGGGCTGGTAGTCCGGGGCTTTCCAGGTCGCTCACACAACAAATACACACCTCAAGTCACAGTCAGACCAGAAATACAAGGACCAAACAAACACTAATGTGTGGTTACAAAAGCTCCAACGCCTCAGACTACTAACCAGTATAACCAATTCACAATCACCACGATAATAGTAAAATGTATTAAGTGCTTCCCTCCTTTTCACTGCACGGCGCGACTCCGTGTGACTCATGAATAAAACCTGCAAACTCTGCTAAACCCCATGAACATTGTACCATGGAACTTAATATACTTTGCTTTGACTTTGTCCCGAATGAATGAATTAACTTTACATGCACAGAATTCAGCATAAAGGGATTTACACATTTTTAAATACCATGTGCGTCATATGAAGGGGCAGCCGGGCTGTTCAGCGCCCTACAATATAAGGAAGTACTTTGAATCAAATCCTTGGGGAGAGACAGTGTGAGTTGCGTCATCTGATTTTATTTTGTGTTGAAACCCTGCCAGCAGCATTCTGTAGCTTTACTGCTTTTGGTAGATCGGCATGAAAAGGGTCACAGAATCATGCTTGAAGGAGGCAGTTCTGGTTAATGAATTATACTGAGCTTTACAGTCCAGGTCCATATCTGTAATCATTTATTAATCTTGACTAGTTCATAACATCCAATGTCATTTCAACAAACTAGATAAGAACAGAAGCATAGTACTAGAGTTGAGGAGGTTCCATGTCTTTTAACTGAAAATCATTCTTTTATTTTTAATATTCCCACAACATTTACATAATGAATTTATAAAGGTATGTTTGTACATGTTCAGTACGTGTGTGTCCAACGTGGTCCCACAGAACCACCGTCTCACAGACGGGTCCAGGGTGACAGCGGTGGGTCACTGTGCTGGATTTTCCTCTTCAAAGAGCTCCTCCCTCAGTCGGTAGTAGCTCCCCTTCAACTCCATCAGTTCCTGGTGAGTCCCTCGCTCCTGAACTCTGCCGCCATCGATCACAACAATCTGATCGGCCCTCTGGATGGTCCTCAGCTTGTGGGCGATCACCAGCAGGGTCTGGTTAGGACAACTGGCCAAAGCCTGGTGAATCTGTGCAGGGTCAAGGACACACATATTCCTCTTTCAGTGCTTCTCTGTGTTGTTGAGTTGGTGAGAGCAGAGTCAAGGGGGGGGGGGGGGGGGGGCAGAAAAAAACATCTATCCATCTGCAAACCGGTTATCCTGCACAAAGGGCACATGGGGGCCGGGGTCTATCACAGCCAACTTCCGGCAATAGACACGGTTCACCCAGTATGGTTGGAAAAGGATCTACCTTTTTCTGTATATTTGGATCATGTTTATCCTCATCGCTCAATGCTCATCAATTAATTGAGCAATGATGTGTGCAGCACTTTCTCTCTACTGTACATAAATACTTAGAAGTGATTGATGGTACAGAACTTGTCTGAAATACACAGCCAGGGACTTCTGGCCCTGAGGGATGTTAAGACGTACCTTGTTTTCACTGGTCATGTCCAGAGAGCTGGTTATTTCATCCAGAATGAGGACCTGTGGCTGCCTGACCAGAGCTCGAGCGATGGCGATCTGCTGCCTCTGGCTCTTAGATAGTTGGCCCCCACCCTCACCCACCTCTGAGAAATGGACATCATGAAATCACAACGGATTGAGGTGAGTCGCCCGGGTTGGACCCTGACTGAGCACTGCTGGCCCTGTTGTCACCGTGTGCGTCGCTCAAGCTGATGCGAGATGCTCACGATTATGCTGCGTTTGTCTGTAATACATGTAATACTTGACTGGGTTCTTTACATGGCTCATAGGCAATAAAGCAGTTCCTCCAATGTGAGGGAGGACTTTACTGATAATTCCTCCTGGTCATTGTGGAGGTTAGTCTGTGGCTTTTTACAGGTTACACTTGCATCCTCCATGATTGACACTCGTTACCTTTTTGATTCTTCACGGTTCATTTAGTTTATTTTCCCTAAGTTCCAGCATTAATCTCTACAAATGATGTATTCTTTGCTTTTATTTTTAACAGTAAAAAAAAGGTTACCTGCATCGTAGCCCTTCTCCAGCTTCATGATGAAGTCGTGTGCGTTGGCTTTGCGTGCTGCTTCCTGGATCTCATCCAATGAGCATTCAGCGAGCCCGTAGGCGATGTTGTCTCTGATGGAGCCAGAGAAGAGGACAGGCTCCTGGCTCACCAAAGCAATCTGTCAATCACACTATCAGCCTTCGGTTCCCAGGACCCCTCTGGCCTCAAGGTATCGGTGCATGTATGGTTTCTAACTGATGTTTCTTGTTGCACTATCAACTTTTCTGCAACTCCAAATGTAACCGTTGTGGTACTAAACTCAAAAAGAATATTTTTTTCCCAATAGTTTTTGAATTTAAACACAGATAAGAGACAGAAATTGTCCAAAGCAGGAGAGTGGTTTGCGTGATCAAAGCCGTAATGCTGAATCACCTTCTTGTGGAGGAAACGGTGGTCATAGGATTTCAGTGGTTCGTTGTCCAATAGGATTTCTCCGTCCTGCTGCTCATAGAAGCGCTGCAGCAGACTCACACATGTGCTTTTCCCTTTTCCAGATGTTCCCACCAGCGCTGTCATCTGACCTGACTTCAGCTCCAATGAAAAGTCCTAAAAGAGGAGATGAAACAGAAAATAGTTTTGTTTTTGTAGCTTATTGTACATTAATTTATAGGCAGCTGTAGATACTGAGGGAACCCTTGTGTACATTTACTTTAGCTTGTCACTTTCTAGACTCATCCCGTTTTTCCGCTACTGAAATTCATGCTAAAGAAGTCCCCTCTCTGCCGGCATGAGCTCACCTGCAGTACTGTTTTGTCGGGGTAAGTCGGATAGGCGAAGCTGAGATTGCGGAAGACGACGTTCCCTGTCAGCTGATCCGGTTTGAGTTTCCCCTCCATGCTGACCTGAGCTTTACGGTCCAGGTACTCAAACACTTTCCCAGCAGCCCCCACCGAGTTCAGCATGTCGCCAAAGATGTAGGTCAGTGTCTAAAAAGAACATGAAACTGAGCACTTGATGACGTCATCTTTACCTTTATATAGTGAAGGCGGTATGTTGAATAGGAATATTTATGCATGCAATCACGTGTAGTCTTTTAAACTGAGAGCCAAATATCATAACACATGATGACCCAACATGACACCACAAAGAGTTTGTTTCTATCATCTTTAAATAAAACATAAGAAAAGCCAGCAGTTATCTACCCTGATGTTGTCTCCAAGATCTGACTGGTAGAGGATGAAGGAAACCAGGTTTCCAGTGGTCATCTGTCCACTCCGGATGAACAGCCTGCCGTAGTACATCATGACCACCTGCATGCCTAAGCCTGTCAACTGTACACACACACTGTTACATGAGGTGATGTACAAGTATATACTCAGAAGTACCTGTTGTACGAAAAAACTACAAACTTCTCACCCTGCGCGCGAGAAGGTAAACAGCTCTGACAGCGTTCTGGCGCGTCTTCAGGATGTGTGTGTCCATCAAGCGGTCGTCATAACGACGGGCTTCGTGTTTCTCTGTGTTGAAGCTACGTACCACATGAATACTGGACACCACCTCGTTCACGACTTCATTTGCCAGAGCCATGGAGTCGTGCACTGCCAGGGACAGCCGCTGGGGAGGAAGACAAAAGTCTTCTCAGTATTAAGTCACGGGTGGGTATCTTATATTAGAAACGTTCATCGCGTCATTTAATTCATCGCATCATTTGTCTTTCAAAAGACAAAAGCATCTTTCGGCTACATAAAATAAAAGAGCTTTTTTGTGATGGAAAACAGGTAATCAAACGATCCTTTGGATCCCCGAGTTAATTCAATGTCTCTCATGAACCTGCCTTTCACCTGGTAGTGTGTGTCATAGATGTTCTGAATGAGGCTGGTGATGGGCACCTCCATCAATACCAGGAATGTGAGCTTCCAGGAAAGATTCATCATCAGGGAGATCATGCCCAGCGTCTTGATGAACGTCCTCAGCAGCACGTTGACATTGAGACACACCGCTCTTCCCATCAGGGTGGTGTCTTTAGACAACCTTGATGTGATTTCCCCTACACAGAAAATACAGAGCTTACATTCTGTCCTCTTCTGTTGTTCTGTGATGTTCTTGTTCTGTAACAATCTCATGTTCTGAAATGCCTCCTGTCCTGTCTTTATTGTGTCTTGCCATGACTTGTTCCATTGGCCATGTCCATTGCTGAAGTATTCATACAGTAAACTGTATGTGCGTGTAATACGAGAGCCTCACCTGTCTTTGTTGTCTCAAAGAACCCAATCTCCTGTCTGGTCAAAGCCCCAAACAGCTGGACTTTAATTCTGCACGTGAAGGCGCTGATGGCGCACATTAAGAAACCTCCTCTGCAGCCTGCACTAAAAGAGCTGACGGATCATAAATAGACAGTCACATGTTACGTTGTGAGCTACAGGCGCATTCCCTGGATGAGTGAGAGTGAAGAGGGGGACGAATTGTCCTATACCTGCCCAGAGAGTATAGTCCCATGAAAAGAAGCGCAGATACAAATTCATTGGGCCGATACTGAGTGCCAAGGATGTCGATGACTCTGCCAGTGTAGAACGGGATGAACATCTCACCTGAGTAGATGCAGAATATACAAAGTCACATACTGAGTGAAAATCAGCATCATATTAGCATCATCATCGATGTGGTCCAGCGTATCCCAACAGCAGAGTACCAACTGTTATAAGGCTAAGGCTTAAATTCACAGTGAGAATTGAAGATATCTGAAAATAAGGACGATGACTTTTAAAAAATTTAAACAATGTTCATAGTTGTGAGTTTAAAGAGATGCTCAGTCTTAGCATCTCTTTAAAGGGGCCTGAAGTGCACTGGAACATGAGTTATTTACTCATTAGTAGATGATAACGTGAATCCTGTACTGGAATGACATCCTCATCCTCATCATGTGACGTGGGCCGATACTCACACAAAACTGCCAGCGTCAGCATCAGCAGCCCCCCAAGGAGCAGCAGATATTCGGGTTTGTACAAGGCCAGGACTCTCAAAAACAGCACTCTGGCCTTCTGTTTCTTCTCTTTACCGGCGGCAGCATCTTCCGCGTCCGGCACGGTGATTTCCCAAAACAGCGCACCGACCAGCGACGCTGCGGCGCAAACGAGCCAGCAGCGCGCATCCGCCGACGGGCCGCATTCGGTCTCCTCGCGGTAGAGCGCTTTGGTTCCGGTCTCAAACACCGCGGGCAGCAGACTGTGCGACGCGATAACGCGGATCAGCAACGGGTTGAGATCTCCGAGGGTGAGCAGAGTCACGGCGCTCAGTGCCGAGCAGCGGAGAGCCGCGTGGAGCCAGAGACGCGCAAAGTGTCCAAACACGCTGCGAGTCGCCACCAGTCCCGCTGCGTAAAACAAGGACAGGTCCACGCAGACTGCGGACACCAAAGCGATGCCTTTGCGGGTTACTTTTGCCATATCGGCTGTCGTCATGCAGCTACAGTCGTCTGCATAACCTTCTGTGTCGATGCAGTCTGAGGTTTGGTCCACTTTCACTTTCATTGTCTGGTTTCCCCCAAATCCTAACGGCTCCCTATAGAACTATTTTGGGTTCCTAAACTGAGTGGGTTACACATGTAAACTATCTTTTATTATCACTAACTTCACGAGAACATTACACCAGCATTAAAGTCCAAAGCCATTCATTGTAAATAAAAACAAAAATAAAACAGTAAATTACACAGGCTTTTATTTTTATTAAATTGCACATGAAAGAAAATCATATAAAAGAACGATAAAGTATAATCAGAAAGCATGTAGACTTATTTTTAAGCAGGATGAACAACAATCAACCGCTTAGGCTTCTTACTTTAGTCTGATTAGCAGTGAAGATAAGAGGGAATAATAATGTGAATAACAAACTTGACTTTGACTCTTTAGATGCTTGTGACACTAAATACCTCTTTTATTTACTTTTACTTTTTTGCCCTCCATTGTTATCCTTCAAAATAAAACCCACAAAACATCGTTTCATGTATTTGCTAGACAATCAGTTTGTAAAGGCCTTAAATAATGTGTTTAATGTGTTATTGTTATACACATTTTTTCTTTAATCAGACACATTTTTTCTTAATCAGATGCAAAAACTAGATAACAACAAAGACGTATCAGCCTTTCTCTCCCCATATTGGCTTCGGCCATTCAAAAGCAAACATCTGTCGGCAACTAAATAAAACATTACTCTTAATTGACCAAATAAGTTGAGTTTGTTTGTTATAATTATCTTAATAATGAACCACAAATTACTTTTAGATTTTTAATGACATAGCGTATCACAGAGCCATGCAATGATTTTATTTGAATTAAACGTTTTAGTAAGTATTTTGATGTGGTGCTTTTCTAGTTGATAAGCTGCATGAGCTGACAGAAGAACCAAAGTATTGTGAGCAAACTGAAAAACTAGTTGCATCCCGCACAGCAGCAGCTTGGCAGACCAGAGACGAGGAAATAGGAAATAGGAAGTGTCACTGGTCAAAGAAGGTGGGTAAGTCATTTCCTAGAACCACTTTCTCCTCCGTGCCGTGTTCATCAATGGACACAATATAGGCCACGCCTCCACTGGAGCCATCGCGGTTTATCGCCAAAGACAGAGCTGCGAGAGGAAGAGGAGAGAAGGCGTGAGGAAGGAGAGGAGAGGTTTTATTAGACAACATGTGTCACCTCACATAAATAAAACAAGCAGTCAGTAGGAAGCAAATGTCTGGTGTCTCTTTCACATTCAAATAAACCGTCTGAGGAAAAAAAAATCTTTGTGTGGAGAAAACCAACGTACTGTTGACAACAAACTGCTGGCACTCCTCCTTGCTCATGCCTCCGCGAAACTCAGCATCAACAAACCCATAAACATGTGAGCTTCCAGAGCCGCCCACGGCAAAGGGCTGCCTCGTCAGGAGACCACTCAGGGTGGCAAACACCTGGGAGAGGTCAAAGGGCACAGGAGCAGACAGGAGCAAGTCAGATGAATGGACTCCTGTAACATCATATCTGTTGGCTGGACGGGATTTTATCTTTGATGTGCAACCTTAACGCCACTTTAGCCCAAGTAGCAGACATTCATTTTGACATCATTAACATGCCCCGCCCCGGTAATCTTTCTTGTTTATGGCTTAAATCTCTGCCATGTTTTTATTGACCTGTCCCCCGTCTCTTCTGTCCCAGCCGGCCACGATGAGATGGGCCGACAGCTCCTCTTTGTACTTGTACGAGATGTTCCTCACCAGAGTGGCCGCTGAGCGAACCTGTGGGTCCTCATCGATCTCGATACTGACGGAGGGAGGAAACAGGATATCCAATGAAAACAGCCCAAGATAAACGCTGTACCGTGGTACTGAATGTGTCTTCACCTGTGGACATCGAGCTGGTAGTGGACGACCTCGGCGATGGTCTGAGCGTCGGCTGCAGAGCCGGACAGAGCACAGTAGATCTTGTCATGGAGGGGAGACAGCTTGTTCATCACCCTGTTCACCACCGACGCCCTGCAGGGAGGGAGGAACAGGGGGAGTTTGGCTTTGTGCAAATGCATCTGCACCCTGCTACTTTTTGTATTTCTGGATGGAAGCTCAGCTGTGTGTCATTGTCTCAGTAACAATCAACACCCAGCATGCAACGCTACTGACAGCACTTCATTTCTACTCTATAGAATTCTACCCTCTGATTCCAGTGTCTTCATTGTGTGATCTTTCTCTGCTGACATTTATTCCTTAAGGCTCCGTAGTTCTACGTGTAACCATCTGATAGCCCACAGTTAAGTGTACTTGTCTAGCAGACTATCCTGTTACAGTAGCCACTATTATTTTATTCCATGTGTCCATCCAGCAACATTGGTGGATCCAAATGTTGTAAGAAAAACATATATGGTGTAATTTCTTTCTAATCATCCAAAATAATGTGAAGTGTGTGGGTATTTCTCCAAGTAGGCCGCTGACTGGTCGATACTGTGATGCATTGAGTGGGCCGGTCTGACCTCGGGCCACGTCCCCCCCCCCAGTCCGCCCCTGAGTACTTGTATGTCTAAACTAGTCACACTGCATGTTAAAGACGAACAGGTGGAAGGATTTAGTGTCAGTAAGCATTCATGCAAATACTATCTAACACATATAATACTATGTTTCCTCAGAGAGAGAGGCGGTATCATGCAGGTAGAACTGGACCGCGCATGCAGACGCGCACGCACGCGCACGCGCGAGCTCACCCTGCAGACACTCTGGAATCAGACCCCAGCACGACCCCTCCGTCAAACTCTACGGCGATGATGGTGGTCTGCAAACAGAGGTAGAGGTCCTTCAGGGTTCATATGCAGCGGTTCTCGGCGCGGTCTCCGACGTGTAGGACGTCTACTTACTCCGGTCTTCACCTCCTGAGACAACCACTCCGTCCCCGTCTCCTGCAACATGCTGATCCGCTTCTGGTACCGACCGAGCGATGTGGAGCCAAACGTTGACTCGAGCAGTCCGGGTTTACGACGTTTTCCTCGGGGAGCCTCTTTGAGTCTCTGGACGTGTTCTCGACGCGTTTGTCCGCACGTCACACGGACTCCATGTTGTCCTCAATCAAATCGAAATTGAAAGTGAAGTTGTTCCTCCTGCAACGAGCTGCAAACACGGACAGTGTGTCCCGATTTGCACTGAAATGCACTTAAACTCAGCGAACATTGAGTCCTCTTTGAGGGGGGGGACCAAATCAGTTTTCAAAGCCTTTATAAAAGTGTTATGAAACGTGTAAATAACTCATCACAGCAATAAATGTTGATTAACAAGAAGAACGTTTTTTTGCAGTATGATAGAACTAGAAAGAATAGATAGTTGACCTCTGACAAACGTATTTATTGTACAGCGAGTGTAGCTGAGTGTAGGAAGAGAATCGATTGAGATGACTTCATTGTTTACCAGCTACCCAGCAGCCTCTCTGCCTCACTTCTGGCCTCCAGGGGACCATCTGTCCAAGAGGACAGCAGGTCGGCTGAGTTAAGGGGTCCGTTCCTGGGGAGCAAAGTCTCCTGCTTAACAGGTGTGAAGCCCCCTTTCTTGGTCAGGTGGTGATACGCGTTGGTTGGGTCCAGTTTAAGGGGACACGTTACCAGACGTCCCCGAAGACACTGGAGACAGACGGTTAGCTGTTAGCTGTAGCAACGCCAAAGGACCCCAGTGTGGAGAGTCACTCACTATTATTATAATAAATAAAAGTAAAGGAGGAAAAAGGAGGAACAACAACAATGGAGCTACAACCATAAAGTGTTTTTTCACAATCCAGATAACATCCAATACATTTTCTTTCCATCAAATAATTGATTTAAAAGCTTTACAGCTACAGCGGAGGACGACAGAGCTCTAAACAGAAAGCAGAACATTAACTGGATTGATTGTATTGACACATGTTGGACTGTGTCTTTTTATTCTGGTCCCTCCGACACTTTTGATTGACGAACTCGTCTTTAAGTGCGTTTCAGACTGTGTGACGTACTAACTGTTAGATTGTGCGCCACAAAGTGAATCCACAGCCATGAAATAGTCAAAACAAACGCTCTGCATCCGAGTACATTCAAACCATGAACTGATCCAGGAAACAAGGACGGTCATTTGTAGAACACGTCGTATAATAATGATGAATATATTTTAAAGCGCTCAACAAATAGAAAGTAGTACAAACCATTTTTACAATGTAGAATCTTCATTTATATTTCAAATATTCCAAAACATATAAAATCAACTACACAAAATGTGATCTGGAAAAAGTAAAAGGCTGATGGAGCCTTTAATTACAAGAGATGGAAGTAGCATTTTGTCGTTTTTTAGATATTGATTTTATAACAACTAGTTTCCCCAGATCAATGAAACTTATCACCACTGTTTCCACATTTACAATTTGTCATTGGCAGTAAACTAATCATGTTCATTGTCTTGTTCTTAAGGAGTGTGTGTGTGTGTGTGTGTGTGTGTGTGTGTGTGTGTGTGTGTGTGTGTGTGTGTGTGTGAGTTACATCCCAGTCCTATACGGTACATTATTGATGAGATTGTGGATCATGAATTTCAAACAGTTACTGACATAAAATTCATTGTTTGTTGGACGCTGTCACTCGTTGTGAAACTTGGGCAGCTTGTTGCCGGGGACAACCACGTGCTCCACCCCAGTTTCCGTGATGACCACAAGGTGAGCCACGCCTCCGCTGACGTTGTCTCTGCCCATGGCGAGAGCCAGAGCTGTGACCCAGAGAGAAGCAAAGGGAGGACAGAGCAGGGGGGGGACGGACAGCAAGCAGGACAAATAAAGGTTTAACAACTGACGGTAAGCAGCATGCAGCGTTTATACACCTCCTAAAGGCTGCATGGGCACCAACTACAACATAGACGTACATCAAACCACCCAATTTGAGTGCAACCAGAGGCCTTTGTCCCGGCTGAGCTGTGGTTGCCCTCAAATTGAGTGTTTTTCATTTTTAACTGTAACAAACCGAACAAACAACCAACAAATACTTATTCTCATTTTCTGCATTATACTGGAATCGTAGAATCACAAGCCAGTTTCCCCCCCAAAAACACAAAACAAGTATCAGCGTATTTAGGTCTGCGCGCTCAAGTAAACGAACACGACAGTACCATTAGTGGCAAACTGCAGGCATTCCTCTCTGCTCATGTTGGGTTTGTATTTGGCGTCGACGTAGCCGTAGATGTAGGTGCTGCCTGAGCCTCCGATGGTCACCGGCTGACCGACCAACATCCCACCAAGAGGCACCACGTACACCTGGAGAGGGACGCAGGGTATCAGGACTGCAGCCACACGCCAGTAGGTGGAGTTACTTTGGACCGCTGTGTCTCTGCTTCCTGTGTGACTGTCACCCCGACCAGCCCCCACCTGAGGGCCCTTCTTCCTGTCCCAGCCTGCTGTGATGAAGCCCGCCTGCAGCTCCTCTTTGTTGTTGTAGCACAGTTCCTGCAGCACCGATGCTGCTGCTATCACCAGTGGAGGGGTCTCCATCTGGACACTGTGGAATGGGGGGGGGGGGGGGGGGCATTTCCACGATGAAGAGACTTTGAAACCATTATTTTGGGCTCTCTAATGATTTTTTATAGCTGTCAGTGTAACAACTAGTTTGTTAGTTGGTTTTGCACACAACTCTGTCAACTGATCGTAATCGTCAATATAATAATCGTTCAAGCTTCCGCACAGTTTGCTTTAGGCTCAAACACGGAACCTAAAGCAAACTGTGCAGAAGCTTGAACGATTATGGCGTTCCACCAAATCAGAAGGATCTAGGCTAGTTTGGCAAGACAGCCTTAAAACGTATAAGAAGGCTCTCCGTAACGCAAGAGCATCTTATTACTCATCATTAATAGAGAAAAATAAAAACAACTCCAGGTTTCTCTTCAGCACTGTAGCCCGACTGACAGAGAGTCATAGCTCTGTCGAGCCGTGTATTCCTTTGGACCTCACTAGTAACGACTTCATGAACTTCTTCAATGATAAGATTCTGACTATCAAAGAGAAAATTGATGGTCTCCTGCCTTCAACCAGTGCCGACCCGTCCTCCGATGTAGGAACCTTGGATGCAGCAGTGGGCCCTGATGCCTGTTTGGATGCCTTCTCTTCCATCAACCTTGATCAACTGACTTCTTTAATTTCAAAGTCTAAATCTTCTACTTGTCTCTTGGATCCGATTCCGACCAAACTGCTTAAGGAAGTTTTTCCTTTAGTTAGCACATCCTTATTAGATATTATGAATCTGTCTTTGTTGACAGGACATGTACCACAGTCCTTCAAGGTAGCTGTAATTAAACCTCTTCTTAAGAAACCTACTCTTGCTCCAGAGGTGTTGGCTAACTACAGACCTATCTCTAATCTTCCCTTCCTCTCTAAGATCCTTGAGAAATCCGTCGCAAATCAATTATGTGACTTTCTACAAAACAATGCTTTGTTCGAGGATTTCCAGTCAGGATTCCGAGTGCATCACAGTACAGAAACAGCACTGGTGAAAATTACGAATGATCTTCTACTTGCATCGGACCAAGGACTCATCTCTTTTCTTGTCTTGCTGGACCTCAGTGCCGCATTTGATACCATAGACCATTGTATCCTGTTGCAGAGACTAGAACATTTAATTGGTATCAAAGGAACTGCACTCAGCTGGTTTAAATCCTACCTATCGGACCGATCCCAGTTTGTGCTTGTAAACGGTGAATCCTCAAAGACCACCAATGTTGGTCACGGAGTCCCACAAGGTTCTGTACTTGGACCGATTTTATTTACCCTCTATATGCTTCCTTTGGGCGATGTTATCAGGAAACACCGCATAAACTTCCATTGTTATGCAGACGATACTCAACTGTATCTGTCGATCAAGCCAGAAGAGACGGACCAGTTAGTTAGACTCCAAGAATGTCTTGGAGACATCAAAACTTGGATGACCGGCAACTTCCTGATGCTAAACTCAGAAAAAACGGAAGTTATCCTGATAGGCCCAGAGCGCCTTCGAAGCCAGCTGTCACGTGATACAGTTTTTATGGATGGAATTGCTCTGGTACCCAGCAGCACCGTCAGGAATCTGGGAGTTCTCTTCGACCAGGATATGACCTTCAACTCGCATATAAAGAAGACTTCAAGGACTGCCTATTTTCATCTACGTAACATATCAAAAATCAGGAACTTCCTGTCTCAAAGTGATGCAGAAAAATTAGTTCATGCGTTTGTCACTTCCAGACTGGACTACTGTAATTCTTTGTTATCAGGCTGCTCTTATAAATCTCTTAAGCCTCTCCAGCTGATTCAGAATGCTGCAGCACGTGTATTATCAAGAACTAAGAAAAGGGATCATATCACTCCTGTATTAACTTCTCTGCACTGGCTCCCTGTTAAATCAAGAATAGATTTTAAGGTACTTCTCCTCACCTACAAGGCACTTGCTGGTGAGGCACCGTTGTATCTTCAAGAGCTTGTAACACCGTATTGCCCTACAAGGCAACTGCGCTCCATAGATGCTGGGTTACTTGTTGTTCCTAGGGTTTTAAAAAGTAGGCTGGCGGCCAGAGCCTTCAGTTATCAAGCTCCTCTTTTGTGGAACCAGGTTCCACTTTCAGTCCGGGGGGGCAGATTCGGTCAGCTCTTTTAAAGTAAAACTTAAAACGTTCCTCTTTGATTCTGCCTATAGTTAGGGCTGGCTCAGGTTAGTCCGGACCAGCCCTTAGTTAAGCTGCTATAGGCTTAGAATGCCGGGGGAATTCTTAGGACACACCAAGCTCCTCTCTTACGCTCTCGTTCTACCATAATTCAAGTTTTATTAATGCACATGACTAATTCAGCTTCTTTCCGGGAGTTTTTTTTTGTGCTTTCGCCCTTATCAGGTCTCCGTAGATCGTGGTTCCTTCTGGACCCTGGTCCTGACACCTACCGTGGCCATGCTGACGCCTGCTGCTGCCATCATCATCATCATCATCATTATTTTAGATATGAATCATATTACTGTACTCATAAACCGACATTACCCTCTCCTAAAGTCTCTGCGCTCTCCCTCCCCACAGGATTCTGTGGATGGTGGTTCTATCTGATGGTGGTTGCCCCTGCAGTGGTCCTGCTGTGCGCCTGGCTTACTACTCACAATTACTTGAATCATTTCTGTCATAGGAATTGCATGTATTATACATTGTTCATTCTGTACACATGGCATCCATTGTAGTCTGTCCATCCCGGGAGTGGGATCCCTCCTCTGACGTCCTGAGCATCTGCTAGTGAGCCGGCCATGCAGCAGAAGATCTGGTCATGAACCTGGACCACCTTGTTGATGGTCTTAGATGACACATATTCCCTGAAGAGAGAGACAGGAATGTGATGAAGAGACTTGGATCACCGGCCCTCGGTTGTGTTCCTCCACCACAGTCACAGCGACATTCCTGTTTCCTACAAATATGTTTAACAATGTCGGCATCTGCAGTGTATCTTCCCAGCACGCTCACCCTCCAATGGAAGCCCTGGAATCTGAACCAATCACAACCCCTCCATCAAAAGTGGCAGCCAGGATGGTGGTCTGGGGGAGAGAGGGGGGAGGGGGGGGAGGTTCTCACATGCAAGTAATGAATAAGTAGTTACATCAAGCCAAACGCAGCAGGAGGCTTACGTGTCCATGTCAGCCACTCTGAGCGCCGCCGCTATGCATCATGGGATTTAGAGTTTCTGGGCGGATTTTTTTAAACGGAATAAATGTGTAGCCTGTCGCTTTTCTGCATATTCCGTTCTAGAAGATGTTGTACAGATGTGACTCGTTCAGGTCCAACGTGCAAACACCTGGGATGTTAAAACACGCGACAGGTCCGGTCCTCGTAGTGTTTGGTTTCCTTTCAGGTAACTTAAAGTCTCACCTGTTCATCCGCAGAATCACGTATCGATCATTTCATCCTTCAGCGGGTTCTACGGTGACACTAAGGAGCCGGTCCGGGTTTACTCACCCCTGTGCTGACTCCTCTGACCCGCGAGTCCACGCTGCGTTTCTCCATTTTCACAGCAAAACCGAAAGAGAAGAAGGAGGCGACGCTCCGAACAGCGACCTCAGGCGCATCGAGACGCGCAGAGGAGCCGCAGACCAGGATCCACTATGGCGCTATCAAATGTCCTCCACGCTCCTGCAGCGGGGTTCAACTTCGACCACGCAGCCAGGTAGGAGCTTCTGTTTGGCTCATAGGCAGCAGATTGTGACTTAGATAGAAACACCAATGAAGCTGTGTTACTCACGCAGCTTTCAATCCATTTGAGATCCAAAGTGAAAGTAACTTTCCCTGCTTGTTTGTCATGTTGATCAATGAAACGACTTGGTGATGATTTGTCCATATTATATATATATTACATACATGCATAAGTTGAACCCTGTCTCTCCCTCCCTCTCCAGGAATGCTGAGTTAGAGGGTCTGTTTGATGCACAGATACCTAAACCTGTGAAAACAGGCACCACCATAGCGGGAGTGGTGTTCAAGGCGAGTACACACACCTGTGTACATCTGCATTTACCCTGAATTGCATTATTTAACACTGTTAAAGTCGACCACACTGTTTCCTTTCCCTGTCATCTCTGCATAACGGAACAGGACAGTCCGTGTTAACAACAATGATGATGAATACATAAATACACTGAGGGGATCTGCCCAGTGTATCACAGCACTGCTGGGGCCTGTTTAGCTCCAGTGGGACCACTGAGATTTAAATGTCTTGTTCTAGTGTAAAGCAAAGTGTATAATTGTATAACAATTAGAGTAACACACCTCCCGCTCGGTGTGTGTGGGTGCAGGATGGAGTGGTTCTGGGAGCAGACACAAGAGCCACATCCAGTGAAGTAGTGGCTGACAAGATGTGCGCCAAGATCCATTACATTGCTCCAAATATATAGTAAGTCTTGTATACGACACACTGAAAGCATAACAGGAGATCCACCTTTAAAATACTCTCACTGTTATCAGAATGAAACGTATGTTCCTTTTTGTGGACATAAGTCTCCTTTACTTGTGATTTCCTACATATCCCAGAATGCCTTAGTGCCCTCAGATTAAGAACTTAGGTCCTTGTTCTTGTGGTGCATTCTGCACTATTGAGGCTACTGCAGGAGATGGAATAAGTCGCTGCGACTCTTTGGGTATAATGGATTTCTATGACTGCTGAAGCAAAACAGTTTCTGAAAGGATGCCGCAGTTCCTCTACTCTCTCTTTCCCAATTCCCTGTAGCTTTTTGTCATATTTTCCCTCAACTCTCTATTCACAAAACACTCCTTCCTCTCCTCCTAGTTGTTGTGGAGCAGGAACAGCAGCAGATACAGAGAAGACCACTGAGCTCCTCTCCTCCAACCTCACCATCTTCTCCCTGAACAGCGGGAGGAACCCTCGTGTCGTCATGGCCGTCAACATACTCCAGGAGATGTTGTACAGGTTTGTGTAGCACATGAGCTTGTATCCAACGGTGTGTGAATGAGTTAAAGTACCCATTAAAAGCCCAGTTCTGATCCGTCTGTTCCTCAGGTATCACGGCCAAATTGGGGCCAGTCTTATACTGGGAGGAGTAGATTGCACTGGGAACCACCTGTACACGGTGGGGCCGTACGGCAGCGTGGATACGATGCCGTACCTTGCAATGGGTACGTGCGTGATGGAACAATATTCTCTAAGCATCGTGGCTCTATAACATTCACCGTTTGGAATAACATTTGAGTTTGCTGGACATATTCAATCGATTCCCTCTCAGACCACATGTCTGTTTCCTCCTGCAGGCTCTGGGGATCTGGCTGCTCTGGGGATTCTAGGACGGGTACAAACCCGACCTGGAGGTACGCCTCCTGGACAGCTGTTGTTACACACTGCGACAAGGATTGATAGTCAGGATAATATGGAAAATGTTTTAAAAAAGCATTTATTCATGTCACTATTGGATGACAAAATATAAAAACTGGTATTTGAGGAATTTCTCTCTCTGTCATTTCCCTGAATTCTTGTAACTCTCAGCTGGACAAGGCGAAGGAGCTGGTGCGTGCCGCCATCCACGCGGGAGTCATGAATGACCTCGCCTCAGGCAACAACATCGACATCTGTGTCCTCACCAGAGAAGGAGTGGACCACATCAGACCGTACCAGGTGTCACAGTACAAAGACAAAAGGTACGAGTGTGACTGAGTTCTGCTGCATGGGTCGATTCTTAAAGGAGCTGTGTGCAGGATTCAGTCTCTGGTGATGAGGCTGCAGATTGTTTCCCTTCCTTTCCAAGTGAGTCAAATGATGTAAAACAAGGACGGCTCTCTAGAGCCAGTATTCAGTCTGTAGAAACATGGCTGCTCATGGAACTCCATGAAGAGGAGCCGCTCCTGTAGATATGAAGGGCTCATTCAGAGCTTAAGAAAACACATGATTCTTAGCTTCAGGTGATTATACTTCATTGAGAACATGCTATGAATACTACATTTACTTTCTTCATAAATACCTCTAACTCCACACACTGCGACTTTAAAGGTTTCCCTCTCAGAGCGGTAGATATCAGACTGTATGTGATTATACAATAACATGTTTGCTTTTCAGTTATTGAATCCCTCTAACCATCTATTCTTCTATTCTAGGAAAACAAAATACAAATATGGTGCAGGCACAACAGCGGTTCTGACGGAGAAAGTAGTCCCTGTAAAGCTGGAGGTTGTAGAGGAGACTGTGCAGCGGATGGATACAGCCTGATCCACGATGCAGTCACACCTTATAACAACACGTTTAGCAGAAAAGTGTGAAGGCTTTTATTGTGTTGCTTGGTCATGCACTTAAAAAATAAAATCCAAGCAGTGAAAATCAGTTAATAAACATTGTCATGGTTTCTATTCTTCACTGTGAGGTGACACATAAAACTGTTTCATGTATCTCAGATGAAAAAATTCTAAAATAAAATAAAAATTCAAATTGAATGAAATTCTATTCCATCCCTGTTGCTGTTTATTTTCATATTTTAAATGTTAATTTTAATTATCTACTGAATTTATTATACATGTAATATTTCAAGCCTATGAGTGCATTGATATATACTAATACCCCATCAACCCGACTACAGTAGATACAGTGTATTGTTATAAATATGAATTTAGAACACGCATTGATTGCGTGTTTGTATTCTATTACACTCCATTTACATATTTTGAAATTATTTACTGAATGTAATATTAAAGTTAAAGCAGGGCCAAGGGAAAAAACATGGACACAAAAGGGCAGACATGGACCGGGAACTCAAGGCAAGATGACGACAGACGAGCAGAACGTCCAAAACATTCAATGACACCACAAGGGACAAGAGACACACGTGGCTTAAATACACGGGGAAGGTGCAGGTGATGCAGGTGGAAACAAGCATGGACACGGCAGAAAACAACAGGGATGACAGGACAAGGCAGGAGGTGAAGTTAAACGAGGAACGCCAGAGGCATGAAACTACAAAATAAAAACCCAAATCGTGAACAATGTCAATACTTCATCAACCTGACTGGAGTAGATACAGTTCAATTTAATATTGCAGCTATATATATATTTTCAAGCCATATATATGCGGTAATACTCCATTAACCCGACTACAGTAGATATTGTGTTATGAAAATGAATTTCAAACACCCATTGATGACGTCATAGACTTCTGCTTTTCTCCAAACCTGATCGCTGCTTCTCGCTTAGTGACTGATGACGACACACACACAGTGCTCTCCTATTGGTCGATGCGAGCTGCGTTGTTTTTATTAACAGCACGATTCTAACCACAGTTTTCTTTTATTTGTTTCTATCAAATCAGGTTATAAGTTATATGATGACCAGCTGAACGTATTCGTGTATACTTGTTGGTTTCATGTAGCTAGCTGGCTCTTTTAGCATTTATTTACAATAAAACGGCTTTTAAACCCTTTCGCTTTCGAATTCATCGTCCCTTCCCAGGAAGTTATCCGTGACGCTTCTTCAGAGACTTTCGTCATTTCGTACAACTTAAAGAGCAGAATATAATTACAATATAGTCGAATACATAATGGCTCTTTTCCAAGTATCTGGTTTGAAGTCTTATGCTGAACTCCGTGAGCAGATTCTTCCAGCCAGACAGACGCATCTCTTCGACCGAACCAACCACTACAACTTCGGGACCAAAACGCAGGAATTTGCTGTCCCTCTGGGTGTAGACGTGAGTCTCATTTCACCGAGTTTTGCTACAAAATGAGAAGTCTGCATCGTATCAGGTGATCCTGATGCAACAAGCGTGACGCGTCAGACGCGCGGTGGTTCAACGTCTTTTACGCGTCTGTGGTCGCGTTCGCTTCTCCTGCAGCTTCAAATGATGCATTCATCTTACACGTTACTGTGGAATAACACACATAGACACACACACGGCACCTACACGCGTGATTCCACCCACTGAGATCTCCTCTTTGCTTCTATTTTGGCCTTCAGGGTTTCTAGGAACCTGCAGCCGTGATGGTGGTGTGAGTATAGACCTGAACCACGGGACGACCACCCTGGCCTTCAAGTTCAGACATGGAGTCATTGTGGCTGTGGACTCCAGAGCCTCAGCAGGCCGTTACTTGGGTAGACACGTTTTTATTTCTCATGCATCATATCACAGATGTGTGGAGCTTTGAAATGTAACACAGAGGAACACGGAACCATACAAAGTAAATGAGGCAACAAGAGAAACTCTGAGCTCACAGAATGTCTTCTTTACACAAATGTGTCCCGCTCTGCAGCGTCCAACGACGTCAACAAGGTGATAGAGATCAACCCCTACCTGCTGGGCACCATGTCGGGCAGCGCTGCAGACTGCCAGTACTGGGAGAGACTCCCTGGCCAAAGAATGCAGGTCCGTCTGCAGTGCTTTGAACATCAATCTGTCCATTCTGACATGTAATGCTCTGTGTGTCTGTGTATTGATACTAAAATGTGTTCCATGCAGAGGTGAGTAAAGCTCAAGACTTAACTGATCACTGACCTCACAAAAAAACTTTAATCAAGTATCCAGAGCAAAAGATAACAACACACAAATGTTTAACGGTGAAACGATGCAGTGGTGATATTTTGGACGGAAATGCGTGTAAAATGAA